TTTTATTTCCTAAAAACCTTTCACATAATTTTTCAAAACACCCATAATTTTAAGGGTATTTTTGTAAGTACCGCTTGAATTCAACTGAAACCCAATGCCCAATTGCCCATAGCGAGTTCAATTTTTACGACATTTCATTATTCACAACTACACAGTTAGAGAGCCAAACGCCCAATTCAAAATCATATATTCTACCTCTCCTCTTGAGTCTTGTTGTCTCCCACTCTCGCAGTCACAAGCTACAAGTCTGGCCTCCGCAAATTGAGGTTGCGGAGTTCGATCGACTTCCCAGGCTTTTTGCTGTCGCTTTGACTGCTTTGAAGGTTGATATGAAGTGAGATGTTTCTGGATTTTATTTATTTTAATCTGTTTGTGCTGCTTTTTTCGTTATTATTTGCTTTAAGGAAATTTCGTTGGGGGATTGGAAGGGTAGTTTGTATGTTCTGGCCCTCTGGGTTCGGTGGAAGCACCGATTCATTTATTTTTGTTTAGAATCTAAATGATTTCAAGGTATTTCGAATGGAAAAACTTTGGATCATTGCTATCCCTGTGCTTACACCAATTTCTATGTACCAGTGGAGTTGAACTAAGAATAGAATGGTATCTCGATATGAAAACTATTGAAATGATTAATGTTGGGATGATTAATGGTTTAATCTGTTCTCTAATAATTTGGCAAAACATTATTTTATTTTTTCAAAAAGGAAAATGCTATACTTATTTGTGTAATTTTCTAGGCATGTTAACAAGTCCTGCCATTTAGTTCAAGTACTGATTAATTTGATGTATGCTTATTATATAAATGTTATGATACCGTGAAATTCGCAAGCATTGATTTGGAAATTGGATTAGGAAATTGAATTATATTTGATTTTTACATTGTAGTGTAGAAGAACTCTTAATATTATTTAATCAAGCTATTACGGTCGAAACAAGTCGTTGACTGTCGACAATCAATGGCCGTCCTAGTTGAACTCCAATTCTGGATCAGCCACTAAGCCAAACACAGTCTATTTAATGTATATAGCTAGGGATGGAGTGGAGAATAAGCACTCAAGTCATTTTGTTAAGACTTAAGTGACTGTAAACTTACTAACAAACTTATTCAAAATAAAGTAATTTGCAACAATCCTTACTTCAAAAGAAAACAAAAAGGTACTTGTGCAGCGAAGAAAGAAGAAAAAAACAACATTGCAGCTAGAATCTGAAAAAACAGGAAACCACACAAATTACCGTGCACACTAGTTTATCGTAACAACTTGCATGAATTCGGCATCGTTTTCCATAGCTAGCAATGCGTCCGTGGTGAGTCGAATCTCAATGTCTACACTCCCATCTTCTACACCAGGAAATATCGTCCCGTCAAATTTGTTCGCCAAACCAACACTCACGGCCACGGGTTTTCCCCATCCGAAGTCATTTCCACATACGTTGAACTGTGGCGAGTTGGCAACGACAAATGTATTAGTCCTTGCACCCTTCATCGGCAATCGAGGGCATTTTAGCCAATTTTCATAGTAGTTCTTGGTTTCTTCAAGAGTTTGAGCAGCTATCATTTGGCAACTAAAAAAATCAATCAAAATTGGACCCTCATAAATGCTCAACACCAATACATGAAAAATATGATTGGATGGAAAATGAGTATGAATAAATTATTAATATTTGTAAATTTCTCAAAATATATAAACTAAAAATAACTTGAAAATTTATAAGTCATTTATAAAGATGAGCCAAACATATGCTAAGATGTATTTGTCAACTGACAACACAATATAAAATATATGAACGTTATTCACGTGATAAGATATTGATGAAAAGAAGAATCCAGATCCATTATTATATAAACAAATAATTATATTATCCTTTCGAAAAGTTAGTCAAACAAAATTATTAGTGCACGAAAGTCGGAACCTCGTCGGTTGTCACGCACAAATTTGGTAAGGATAAATCGGTTTTTACATCCCAATATTCTTCTTAATATTGAAAAATAAAAATAATAATTAACAAGAACTGAAAATTATTAGCAACACTTTGCAGCTCGACTAAAAAAAAAAAAACCCCCCTTTGCGAGGAGTTTGAAGGAGTCCCTACAATCTTGGAAGGGATGAAAAGGCGTAACCTCATATTCAGATAACCAGAGTGATATGGCCAGGATGGAAAGAAATTGAATGATGAAAGAACAAAGTTGACTCATTCAAACCAGAAGCTTGTCTACGAGATGCAACAATGAAATTTGAGTAGAAAGAAAATGAATTTTAGGGAATTGAATTATCTAATATTTGTTTTACTGAAAATTGTTAATTAATTGTGTTTGATTGATATAATTTTTCACTTGGGAAATATTGAAATTTTGAATCTTTTGATGTTCGTTTGACCTTGTTTTCTATGAAAATTGTCCATTAAATGGATAAAATTTGTTACAATTGGGGATATAATTTGTTTTTATTGTCAAAAAAATTTAAAAAAAAAAAGTTGTCTAGAAAAGTTTTTCCTCAAAAACCAAGAAAATGTAGGTGAAAGATAGAAAATCAATTCCATGAAAAACTTGGACAATCAAACATGCAAAAATATGAAAAATAAAATTTAATTTTCATGGAATTGAAGTGCAATCAAACATTGTCTTATAGCATATAAGCGACTATCAGATTCAAGAGCAGCACATTACATGCCATCTCTTTCCCTGAACGTTGACAATTTCATCAGTATTCGACTCACCCCAAACAATCACTCTCATTTGCGAGCCGCAGACAGTCACATCTATAAGTGGGGTCATTTTCCCTGCTCACCCTTATTTGTTCCATGATATATGAGTCTACTTAAATTATCCGAATTTTTCTCCTTGTACCGTCACTGATTAGTGTGGGCCCCACTAATTAATTAATCAGTGGGCCTCACACTGATCAGTGTGGGCTGTAAAATGTACAGTCCATTAAGGACTGCAGAAGCCCTCAAATTATCCATCTTGAAACTTCAGTCAAGTTTTATAACAATTAAAATTTTTAAATTAAGTTAAATTGTGCAATGTTAGATTTTGATGAAAAAATTAAACTTCTCGTACACACACGTGATTAATTAAATTAAATCAGTCCTATAACATAACATCATCTAAGAGTAAATTTGTAGCTAAAAAATAATTTCTTATTCACTTTAAGTTACGGTAATTTGCAATTTAAAGTTGTTATGAATGCATGCATAATCTTATCGGTTTCTATTGCAGTTGATTTTTATTTTTATTTTTTTAATGGGAAAAAGTTCATATAAATAAAAATAATCTATAAATATATGACTAATAAAAATATAATTTTTTTTGTGTGAAAAAGAAAAAGAAAAAAAAATTCACACTTGACACAATGAGATGACAGGCTCAATATTAATTTTTGGAGGGCTAGATGAAATAGAGAAAAAAAAAATATATGTTTTTTTAAAATTAAATTTTTAGCAGATTTTGATAGAAGTTTTTGAAATGTGTGATTGAAAAGTTGTAAGAATCATGAAAAATGCGGTTAATATTAATTGTTTGATTTTGAATTGAATTAAAATCAGATTTTAATACGAATCAAACAGGGGTGAAGCCCCTTGACACATATTCTTTCAAAACTCATTTTTCAACTATACATTTTAAATAAAATAATATATTTCATCACATCAATAACTTTTCCTTACTTTTTAACCGCATATTTCCCATTATATCACCGTTTAAAATAAATATTTTTTTCAATAATATCCATCAAGCACACCCTAAAATTGACTGTGTAATAATTGTCTCCTGCTAAATCCACCTGCACATGTACCGCCCATTATTGTCTGGTAATTTTACATTTTTCAAGCTTAGACAAACGCAGTCTACAATGAATACAGGGATGGAGTGGAGAATAAGCACTCGAGTCAGTTTGTTAAGTGACTGTAAACTTGCGACCAATTTATTCAAAATAAGTCATTGGCAACAATCCTCACTCCAAAAGAAAATGAAAAAGCATTCGTGCAGCCAAGAAAGAAAACAAACAGCATTGGCTAGAATCTTAATAAACACGAAACCACACAAATTACCATGCACACTAGTTCACCGTAACAACTTGCATGAATTCGGCATCGTTTTCCATTGCTAGCAATGCGTCCGGGGTGAGTCGAATCTCAATGTCTACACTCCCTTCTTCTACACCAGGAAATGCCGTCAATTTTCCGTCAAATTTGTTCGCCAATCCAGCTCTTACGGCCACGGGTTTTCCCCATCCGAAGTCATTTCCATACACGTTGAACCGTGGCGAGCTGCCGACGACAAACGTATTAGTCCTTGCACCCTTCATCGGCAATTGAGGGCATTTTAGCCAATTTTCATAGTAGTTCTTGGTTTCTTCAAGCGTTTTAGCAGCTATCATCTGGTTCAGTTGCTGGGCAGCCCAACCGAGTCCATTGCTCAGTAAGTCGTTTGGCATCGCAGTTGCAGCACCTCCCTGAATAGCATTCCCGAAATAACCTTCTGGCAATGGCGGACATAGTCGATTTCTTGTACCCACATATAATTTGAAAGTAGTCTTTATGTTGGCATCATTCGTATTACTACAGCGTATCATAGATCTCCATACATGAGCTAGAAGTGCTTGTAGAGAAGATACACCGGTGCACGTTTTTCCAATTTCATCATTGGCCTTGGATTTGAGTGTAGCAATGTTTTCTTTACTAAAATTAAATACTCTTTCAATCAATGGAGGCTGACTGAAATCATTGAATACCTCTCTCTCGAGTGTAGGGATTTTAACAGGGCGATTAAGATGATCAGGAGCAAACCCACGTACCAGCGTGGGAAGTTTTGATGGACGATCAGATCCCCGAGAGATTTCAGACCAAGAATTGAAGAAATGCCAAAACGAACTCCCATCAACTACACAATGATTCACGGTGCAACTAATGAAATACCCATCGTCAAGCTCAGTTACTTGTACCCCAAGCAAAGGGTTGGCAATTCCTTCGCAGTTTAGAATCCCATTGAGTGGGAATAAGGAATAGACAATTTCAGGCACGTATTTTTGCTTGAGAATATCATTCACAGTGAGGCCATGTACAATAGCATGAGTAAATTGAGCTCCAGCATTATTGCAATCAATGAAAAAGCACTGAGTTTCGTCGTCAAATTTCTCAATACCAAGGCGACCAGCAAGAAGGGGAAAGAAATCTAGGGTACGAGAAAGTGAGGTTTTAAGGTGATGGAGTAAATCTTTTTCTGGGGTTTCTGGTTTGTGGAAAAGAAGACCCTTTTGGTTGTAATCGAACAAAAGGAACCATAGATCCCATGGAGTTAACTCTATCCGAGTTGGTCCTGCAATTGCAAATTCTGAAGCTCGAACTGTACATGTCGATATCTCTTCAAGTTTTGCCATATTTGTATTCTATTATTGGATAAGTACTCCAATATGTATATTGAAATATCAAACGTGAATTGCCGAAGCAGAAATGGGAAGGAACTTTATAATAGAGATAAGGGGACTTGAATATATTTTTTCAATGATTGTGGGTACTTCACCTCAATTATATGAAGAATATAGTGTAATATAAATAATATTATTTTTTATTCTTAGTGAGTTTGATTTCTATTATTTCAAAACTTTTTTTTTCTCAAATTCATTTTTAACCATATATTTTCACAATAAAATATTTTGTATATAAATTAAAAAAAATAAAAAAATCTACTCTTTAACCACACACTCTCCAAAAAATTATTATTACAAAACTCATTTTTCTCAATAATGGACATCAATTTTTATCTATTAATGTCTCAAGCACCTTATGTGCATCTTCACGTTTTATGTACTTTTAAAGATAAGATTTCAATTAATCATCTTGTCTTTTATTGATTAAGGGCATGTTTGGGATTTTTGTTTTTATTTTTTATTGCCAATTTTGAAACTTTTAGGGTGACGCCATTTATGAGAGGTTTGAGAAAATCGATACTTGTTAGTTTCTAAGAGCAGTGTTTTTGGATGATTAGTGTAATTTGGGACTTATTCCTCAACCTCAAATCGATTTTTTTTATTGTTCTTTAAATTTTCTTCCAATTTTATCATATATAAAACAATTATTTACAATTCACATATTTTGTCCAAGACAAACTTGTAAATAAAAATACAATAACTAAAAAAATTATTTATAAGTAAAAAAATACTATATAATTAAAAATTATTTATAAGATAAAAACCCACTTTTGCATGGTTATAAAGTAAGAAATTCAAAAATTCACTCACAAATATATAAAGTTACTCATAAATAAAATATTCACTCATTATGTAAAAAATTGTTTATAAGCACAAAATTAACTTGTAACTTAAAATTTATTTATAATTATTTCTTATAACTTAAAGTTTTAATTATAAGTATTTCAATTTTTAAGCTAAAAATTAACTTATATGTAAAAAATTACTTATAAATAAAATATCATTTATGAGGAAAAAAAATTCACATGAGAACTTATAAATTTAAAATTTCACTAAGGACATATGTGTAAATTTATTGTTATTATTATTTTTTTTTTCAAAATTCCTAGATAATAAACTCACAAATATAGATTGAACTATTTTAAATACTGCAACTAAAAGCCACTCAAAATTGGGCCCCTCGCAAATGTTCGACACGATACTTTAAAAAAACCCAATATCCCATAAAGTATGTTTGAAAAGTACTTATATACAACTTTATTTATAAATAGATAAAAATGAGTATAAATAATATGTAAATTAAAAGTGACTTGAAAATTTACAAAGATGAGGCAAACAAATGCTAAAATGTTAAATTAGTTGTCAACCGACAACACACTATAAAATATATGAACGTGATTCACTTGACAAAATTCTGATAAAAATAAGAATCCAACCAATCTTGAATTATTTAAACAAATAATTTCGCACACAAATTTGATGAGGATAAGAGAATTCACAAGGAGACCCTACAATCTTGGAGAGATAAGGAAGTGGATCCTCACATTCAAAGCGACAAGGCTACCCTACAATCTTCAAGAGATAAGGAAGTGGGTCCTTTACATTCAAAGTGAAAGGGATACAATCTTGGGGGAAAGGTGCTACAATTACAGAAAAATCAATTCCGTAAAAATCACATAATATACACATTGGGGTGGGCCCCATTTTTTATAATAATATTTTACTCATATGGGAGTGGGTCCCATTGAGTATTACGTCAAAAATGACAGAAAAAACAATTCTGTACAAGTGGGTTTCTCCATCTTGGGGAGATAAGTGTAGCTATGTCAATGAGTCAAGTCGAGCCAAAAAAAAAAAGTTTGAGCTCGACTCGAGCTTTTTTAGGCCGAACTTTTTTGGGCCCGAGCCAAGCGGAGCAAAGCTCGGCCAAAAAAATGAGGCTCGTCCCGCGCCTTAGCAGGCTGAGCCGAGCCCAGACCGAACTGTTCGGGTTTTTTTTTTATGTCAAATCTACATGTTTACTTAAAAATTTTAAAATTTATACGATTTATACGTACTTTAAATTAAATAAAAAATGTCAGGCTCGGCTCGAGCTATTTTGGGCCTGAGCCGAGCAAAGCCCAACCAAAAAAATGAGGCTCGGTTACACCGAGCCCTAATCGAGCCCGGCTCGAGCTTTTTTCGAGCCGAACAGAGTCCAAGTCGACTAGCTTTTTTTCCATTCATAGATATAAGTGGGTCCTTACATTCAAAGTGATAAAGCCACATGTTCATGTACTGGTGCAGAGAAGTTGAGTGATAGGGGAACATCATATTGGCAAAAAAATTATTCCACACGTTCATGGACTGGTGGAGAGAAGTTGACTGGTAAGGGAACATCATGTCAAGCCACTGTTTGATAGGAATTAAAATGGTGTTTGATAGGAATTAACTTTTTTTAAAAATTTTCTTTTTCTTAATTATAATCACATTTTAACCATACATTTTATGTGACTTGCAACTTTTTAATTGTATATTTTATTAAAATTTATTAAAAATATAATTTTAATACCCACCAAACATGAGCTGAGTACTAAATTCAAGAAGGATGCAACAACGAAAAATTCAAAATAGCTTCAGATATTATAGTTCAAAGAATTTTAGAGTTTTAGGTTGTGTTTGATTGACCGGATTTTCTAGGGAAGGGAAAATATTTTTCACTTTCCACTTTTTTGACGGTTTGATAGGCTAAATTTTTCACGGAAAATATTTTCCTCCTTACCCCCACACGTGTGCATTTTCCGGGTAATTAATGAAAAAATTTTCCCACCTTTTTTGTGGGAAAAAATTTTCCAGGCTGGCTGCAATTTTTTTTTTTTTTTTGGTAATGGAAACAAATGTCATACTCAATGGTAAAAAAATTTCACTTTAATGGACAATTTTCATATAAAATAAAGTCAAAAGAACACTAATTGAAAAAAATTATCACTTTAATAGACACTTTCCATATAAAACAAAGTCAAACGAATAGAAAATTTAAAAATTTTTCGGGTGGAAAATTATACCAATCAAACACACTTAATTAACAATTCCCTACAAAATATTTTCTAGACAATTATTTTTCCTAGAAATCATTTTCTTTCCACCTATTTTCCATCATTGCAATCAAACGCACCCTTAGTGCTAAGTAGTTTTATCACAGAGGCCTATGTATTTTCTAGTGCTTACGTTCAACGCAAAAAATCTTCAATACAACAAGCAATCTCCGACTCACCCCAACGAATCACCCATTGTGGCATGAACAGGCATTAGCTCTCGCAGAGAGCCGAGAGCTTGTTGGTCACCTTACCAATGAAGATCAAGCACCTCCCAAATACAATACACCAAATCGTAACATCTTCGTATCTACAGAACCACAAAGACCAATATTAACCAGTGTTCTAAAATACGTGCATATGCTTCGTGTATACCCGTATATGCTCGATGAGTTTTTGAAACACCTCGCATATAAGGTATGAGCGTGATAATGTGATCAACCTACTTCGTTGATAGCATATAAACACTTAAATGTCAAAATACACACGCATTTATGTTAAAAATTATGTCAAAATTAGTTTGGCAAAGCACAACCCATTTTTTGTAACTTGAAAAAATAAATTGAGTCTAACAAACAATAAATTAACCTAAATCACCCAAGCGCGTGAATTATATACAGCAATCTATAGGATTTTGACATTTTAAAAAAATCAAAAATCAAAACAAATATTTCGTATAGTTGCAATCTATCTATACCGAACCCGAACCTCATTTTTTGGTTTTTCTCTAGTTTTACTAGCAAGTGATGCTATTAATGAACAATCTTGGATTGTTGATAATTGTGATGATGATGGAGAAGTTAATAATGATATTCTACCATCTACATGGGGTAATAGAAATTCTCGAATTAAAATAAGGGAGCCCGATGAATATTATTTTGCATATGATGATATGGAAGATGACCTTGATAAAGAGGAGTTTGAATTGAAATCCGATGAAAAGTTAGACAATATTTATGTTTTTTTTGGTCTCATGTCTAATCTAATTGTAGAAATTTATTACCAAATAATTATAGTATTTATAATTTTGAGATTATGTTTTTATTAAAAAAATTGAAGAATATGTATAAAATTCAAGTAATTGTAGTATTTAATTTTTATGATTTCGAGCAATTTTTTTTAAAAAAATTTGAAGAATATGTATAAAGTTTAAAGAATACATTATTTTATTTATTATTAGTTTAGAATATTTAAATAATATTGAAAATTAAAAACGCATAATAATACATATGATTCGAATAGACACACATATTCTTGTAATTTTAGAACCTTGATATTAACCTAAGCTTTTATTTCCTGACGCAGGTCCGACAAAATTCTTCGATGGTGGATCATTGGGATACTCTCAGACGAATCCCTTGGACTTGCTATAGGTCTTAATACAGTACACTCAGTTCGAGAAGCACTCAGGAATGAGCATCCACAGAATTCTCAAGAAAGAGAATTTACTTTCCGACAGTAGTAACTTATCTTAGTAAGGAAGAAGATAAAAATCTTGGGGAGCACATCCGCACCTTTAAAAGCTTAAAATCAACCACACCCCATTAACATGATAGCATCATACCCATCCCCAAACCTTATAATCTATCTCTACACAAATTCTTAATCTACCATGCAGCAAAATTTACCATGCTAAATTTGAGCAGGCCAATCAATATCAACCTGAATTCCATCAACCGTAGCAGTATGTTCAACACCACCTCCACTTGTACGTCGTCTTTCTCATGTCCTCCGGACTTGGTCCGGTGTTCAAGCCAGCTTCAAAATTGAACGAGAGTTCACGATTTATACATGTTACGATTTTTATACCAATTTTTTCTCCATGATTTTTGATCTTGTAATGTCCAAATAATTGAACATGAATTCATCAGCCTT